GAATTAGTTAAATTACTATATAGTGGGATTAACTGCACATGAAATATAAGTCTGGGATAATGGGATAGGGGATTAATTACTATGGGATATATGTAATATATAGGATTAATTACTATGATACTTGAACCTAGATTCCCATATTCAAAAAATATTTGCATACCATGTTTTCATCGTACTCCAGACCTGGGTTGGATACCCTCTGGTGAACTAACATAGCAATGGAAAATCACAATTTTTCATGGGAAAATCCACTATAAATGGCCATTTTCCATTGCTATGTTAGTTCACCAGAGGGTATTAATAATTAATAGGCATTTCAGCTCAATTTGAATAAACAAGAGTTGGGTCATGGAGAATCAAATGCCCCATGTGTGGAATTTTTTTTGTGGGGTGAAAACAAAAAACAACAATCACTGGTGTCGGACTGGCTTTGGACTTTGTGCAACGGTGGCTGCAAAATCCGTCATGGAGATTTTGAACTGGGAACATCGTCAAAATCGAGCTAAACTATATACCCTCTGGTAAACTAACAGCTATTGAAAATGGCCATTTAGTTCGTGAGATTTCCTATAAAAAAAAAGTGATTTTCCATAGTTTTAGTTCATCAGAGGGTAAATTATGGATTTTTCCAGCCAGCCACGTTTCAGTACTAACTTTTTTCGACCTGGGTTGAGAATTCTGGCAGTCTGAAGCTGCACTGCTTGGAAAGTCGCAAGTGTCTCGCTCTCGCCGGGCTGAATCGGGACTGGGTTGGGAGAAGATTCAGTCTACCCTCCGGTAAACTAACAGTTTGCTATTGAAAATGGCCATTTAGTAATAGCATGGTGATTTTCCATGGTTTTTTGTATGCCAGAGGGTATTCCCATGAACTGTTGGGTGCACTGTGATGTTTCATGGCTATGGATCCCGGTCATTGCACATAGACCCTGAAAAATGAGTTGAACCTGGTCCCCTGGTCTCTTTTCAGGGTCCCCCGCTGTTCATGTGCAGGCTACCCTCTGGTATACAAAAAACGATGGAACATCACCATTTTTAATGAGTAAATCAACTATAAATGGCAATTTTCAATAGCTATGTTTGTTTACCAGAGGGTAAATCCCATAGACCAAAACATCTACCATCCATCTATGAGTCTAGAATCAAAAAGGGTCTTGGAAGGCAGGATTCAACCCCTCCCCAAAGGTGTTCCAAACGGTGACACCAACAACCACTGTTCCAAAGGAGGGTCACCAAGGGAGTTGAATCTCTGTGATCGTACTCAGATGTTACTTAGTCAACATATTATTGATATTTCAATGGGGATTTTGGGATATTAATGGTGATATAAAGGGATTTTACAACCAACAATATGTGAATGTATTTGAACAATAAGATCTTTTAAGTGAAGTGTTGGTCTAAATTAAAGACATGTTCCAACCGGTTTTTTTTTTCACATACAAAACCGGTGATGGTTCCGTTTTAGCCAGTTGAGGGGATACAGCACCAGGTGAACCTTGAGGTTCACCAACTCTTTTGCATAGCCGCTACCTACATTTTGGGTATTTCAGTGATGCTTTATGCATTTGTATGCGCATATATAATCAATGATGATTGGGTATACACGTATATCCTGCCATACAATATATATATATATATATATACATACACACACACACACACGCGTATATATTATATATAATATAATATACGTATATATATATATATGTATATTGGAGGAAATCACCCCCACCCCCCAAAAAAAATGCTCAATTTCCAAAAACATGTGCATCGCCTGATGTGCTACAACTTCAAAAAGCCCAAGGATGGACTGAGTGGAGAAACCTGGTGTCCTGATTGTCCTGGCTCTGTAAAAGCCTCAGAAAATCCATGGGAAATCTATGGACTTCATGGGTACCCTCTGGTAAACATACAAAAAACATCGAAAAACGATGGAAAATCACAAGTTTTAATGGGTAAATCCACTATAAATGGCAATTTTCAATAGCTATGTTAGTTTACCAGAGGGTAATTGATGGTGATTTTCCAGTGTAAATGACTGGAGGCTAGCCATTTTGGGGCCAAACCTCATTGCTTTTATTGTTGCTTGATATTTCTTCGTGACTCGACGAGTTGGCGTTTGCAGTAAACCACATACTGACCAGGGGATTGCAATCGGGCAATACCTTTGCCATAGCCGTTGATCGTTGATTTTTTTCGAGCTTTTTTCTGAGTGTGAAATCCGTATTACACTGCCAACACATTGGGCTTCCAATGTTTGCCCCTAGATTTGCCCTCGTGCCAAAATCTTGTTCACAACATATTGCGCAAATTAATGTAATATTTTGATGACACCTTACTAATGATTCTTCTAAAGATAGCATGCGTGCACGGTGTTTTGCAGGTCTGTTAGGATTTTCTTGATGGTTTCAAGTCTGTTTCAACAATGGGTTCTTCACCCAAACGACCAACAAGTAGGCAAGTAGATGAAATGGAACCGACCCCTTAGGTTTATATCATCAACCCATAAGATCCCATACTTGTTTTCTCGTGACGCAAGGGTTGTCAGTGGATTTTTCAATAGAGGGATGGGATCGATAAATCCAACGGTTAGCGGTTAGCTAGTTATGTTTACCAACTTACTTGTCCATAGGGGGGAAAAGCCTTCCCGCAATATGGTTTCCGACGTTGCTACTACCACTGTAGATGTCCATGATATTGAAACTATATTCCCATTATAGAACCGTTCTTTGCACGTGCACACGCGTGTTTGATGCTAAAAGCCTAGTAGCCCCAATATGCCAACACATTTACCAAGCCATGGGTAGTCCTTGATATTCCCTGTGGATACCAATCCTTTATGGAAGACAAGAAACTGATGCTTATCCTTAGATTTTGATATGGTATATCTAATTTTCCTGATGCTCATCAACCATTTTGGACCAACCAAAAGAACTGTTTTCATTTGTCTTATATATATAACTATATATATATATGTACATATATATGTACATATATATGTATATACATACATATCTTTAAACCATATTTGCCATATAACATTCCCACTATAGTTTGCTAAAACCCAAATTCCCAGTATCTGTGGTAAAATCCATGTAAACCCCGTGAATCCCATGGATTTTCTCAGCGATCGCGAGGCCTTTGTCACAGAGAACAGCGGATTGCCCATGGAGAGGCTGAAGTATGTTGACTAGTCCTGGCCATCCCCGGCAACTAAGATAAGGCCTTGGGGTGAATGAGAATATATATATATATACAAAGGGATATAGTTGATTATGATAATCATTGTGTATATATATATTTTTTTTATTTTCATATGAATCAACATATCTGGGTAAATTGTAATATACATATATACATACATTTGGCTATAAAAATTGGTACAACAATAATTATATACATAATACTCATATTTGTGCGAATGATAATGCATATATCTGGGTAAATTATAACGGCCGCACTGTTCTCGCAAACCCTGGAATCATGGTTTATAAGGGAACTCATTTTGAAATGGCCTTAATTCAGGTTGGTGAAATATTTACAAAAATCCCCAGATATATGGATATAGTGGATTATGGTGTGTATATATATATATACATATATATATATATATACTCTGGATTTTAACATAGCCATGGAAAATTGCCCATTTATAGATTGTTTACCTATTAAAAATGCTCATTTTCCATGGCTATGTTAAATGACCAGAGGGTATATATTTATCATTATTTATTTATGAATCAATCAACTAGATCCTAAGATATGGGTTGCACCAATGGTACTTCATGGAGATTCAATGGGATTTTAGGGGTATATACTGGGATATATATATATATATATACACATACATATACCATCATATACAAGTATATATATATATATGATGATTACCACCCCCACCCCTCAACAAACATTAAACATCTTGCCAAATAGGGCGTTGGACAAGAATTGTTCTCCAACAAGTGCCAAAATGGGTTCTTTTGCAGGGTCCATCTTAGTTGTAAGGACAGGTAACGGAAAAAAACACAACACATCACCAAATATATTGCGGGATAAAAAAAGGCCAGCAACTTTTCAACAAGGTGATACCCTTGAGAAATGACAGTTTGTTTGGGACACCGCTCAATTGATGGTTGCGTTTGTGACTGCTAGTGTTTGGGGCCAGTCGACTCCTAAGAGGAAACTGGTGAGGAGAAACATGCTTCTCAAGTCAGGTTCGAAGGAATACCCTCTGGTAAACGTACAAAAAAACGATGGAAAATGCACATTTTTGATAGGTAAATCATTAAATCAACATAAATCAACTATAAATGGGCCATGTTCAATAGCTATGTTAAATTACCAGAAGGTACTTTTCAAAAAGGACAAACACCTATGTAATATTATGTAATTACCATTGTTCAATGGATTGGTTTAAGGGTAAATCATGGAACAATTCTAAATTTTCCCACCAACCCATTGAATAGTGACTCAGTGAACTTTGGAATGGGCAGGCATTTTATTATGGCACACCTCCTGGGCCAGGAACTGGAAGTCCACCACGCAGGAGAGGGTCGGCCAGGCGGCCACAAGCCCTTGGCCTAGCCATGGATATAAGACTAGGATATATACCCTTTGGTAATTTGACATAGCCATGGAAAATGGTCCATTTATAGATGATTTTCCCATAAAAACCTCCATTTATAAGGGATTTTCCATGACTATGTTAAATAACCAGATGGTACATATATATATATATATAAATTATATATAATATATATAGGGAAGTGCTGAAATGGAATGTTATGATATATTTTCTATTGCAATTGTTGGGCATCTATTTTCGATCTCCCATATGGTCCAACAATGTCCAACATCAAAAAACATGTTCCATGAATCGGGCAAGCTTCACCCAATCGGCCTTAGGAGCCTTTCAAGCCGTTCAAGTCCTTCAAATCCCACGAGAAAAGGGAGTCCCACAACCGAATGGAAGAGATCTACCGCGTGGGGTGCCATGGCCCATGGCACATCATGGCACCGGCACTGGGACCGCCGTAGAGTGAGATCCATTGAGATCCTTATTTTGTTTGATTTTGGCACCACAAAAATCACGAGTTTTGTTTGTGTCAAATTTTCTGGTTTACGTTACTGTGATCAACAAACATATCAAGACACATGCAAGAGATTTTTCAACCCTGAATTTTGGACACCACCCTGGGAACCATAGCTAGCGGTACATTTATTCGTTTGTGAAGCATTCGTGGTGGCATGTTATGTGAGGGGGATGGGATTTTAATTAGTCAGTATATATATATATATATTATGCAGTTACAGCGCGTTTTAAACAACAAGGGAAACTAATTACCAACCAAGGTTAGCCAGAATATCCCATTGATACCACAAAAAATGCCATGATTCTTGTTTATTTTTACTAGTTTAAGTTTAAGTTATAGTTATACCATTTTCACCACGGTGCCACGGCGGCTGGAGCAAGGAATCATGCCTTGGAAGCGGCCAAGCAAGGGCTAGTGGCGGCCACTTTCGAACCCACCTGGTGGCATAAGCCCTTTCCCATGGCGCCTTCGGCAGCATCTTCCTGATCCCAGAGAAAACACATCAAGAAGTGTGAGATATTCAGAAAGAGATTACCCTCTGGTAAATAAAAATATAGACCCTGAAAATCACCAATGTTTACTGGAAACTAATCTCAAAAAAACCCGATGAATGGCAGGGTCTATGTTAATTTACTGGAAATTAATAGATCGACATTCATAAATTATTCGTAATGGAATGCAGTAAAGGAGCCATAAGTTACCCCCAATGGCGATGATCGCCCGGCCCAGGCTGACTTTCAGCGCTTGCTTCATACTGAGGAGAAGGTCGGCATGAACATTGAGGAGTTTAAGCATGTGATAAGCTTGATATGGCAATTGGAAATGCCCTATAAACATCTATAGACGGAGGTAGTTTAAATAGTTTTAGTATGTTTAATCTCCTCTAAATGAACGTTTTTGTTGATGGTTTTAGCGGTTTAGATGATACACAAGTATGTGATATTGTTCAATAAACCGACCATTTATGGATGATGTTTGCAACTCATTCACGGTCATGGCTTGGGATTCACATGGATTGATTATTCCCCTGGTGATGTTGATGTAGCTTGATTTCACCAGCACGATATATCTACACACACATATATATATATATATATACACCATAAACCACCGAAATGTTGCTGAAATAAACCAATTTAGCTGACTTACCCTCTGGTTATTTAACATAGCCATGGTATAGATGGCCCTAATCGAAATATATGGTTTACCTATTAATTTCATGGTGATTTTCCATGGCAAACTGTTAGCCATAACCAGATGGTAGCTGACTTAGCTGTTGAAAAAAGCACCTTGTGGATCCTTGTGGTATTTTTGAAAAGGATCTCTTCATGTTGGAATCGTCAAATCCGGCTTTGTCAAACGTGGCTGAAGAAAATCCCCAATTTCCACTCAAAAGCTACATGAAAATCATCATGAACCTACATTTGTCATCATGTAACATAGGGAATTGCCTTGCCAGTGATTCATTGTGAGTCATGACCGGGGGATATTTAAAAAAGGCGCTGCGACTTCTGCATGTGCTCTGTGCGGCAACACATTCGGTCGCGAAGCTCGGCCTTTTTAGCGTTGGTTTGTTTCTAGAGCAGAACTCATGATTTTCTGGAAAACGGTCTAGTTACCCTCTGGTAAATTAACATAGACCCTGAAAATCCCCAGTTTTTAATGGAAACTAATTTTCCAACCCCTTTCTGCCAGGGTCTATGTTAATTTACTGGAGGGTAATAGTTTTACATCGATTCTATGGCTTTTAAAACTGCAACTTGGCGAATTTGGGGATTTTGACCACCAAGACCCCTGTTGGTTTGATTCCAAAATTCTCAAGCATGCGGCTTTCCTGCAAACTTTCGTAGTTGGTGGTTTCATGTTGTGTTCGTTTTCAGCCCTATCTGGGAGGATGAGCCTGACTCTCTCATATTTGTTCAGTGGTGGAAACCACCAACCTGTTTCCCTTATATAAACCATCCCAATGAAAGTTCATAGTTTATACTGGGATATTTACATGTAAATGAAACAATATATTCCCTTACTATCTCATAAATTTGGGTTATGTGCTAGATGGATCTTATTGTCGAGACCCCAATTTCTATCCCATGGTTCTCTGAGTTGCAGTGAGTATATCCCATGATGAGTTGTTCAATCATGAAATTAACATATGATCAATGGGAGTTCCAGGATGCTAAAATGAAGGTAATGTATACCATATAAGGCAATATGTTGAGGGTATATCCCCTTACATAGACCTAACATAGGCCTTGTATATGGTAGGTACCTCAAATTTGGGTTCCTGGAATGGCCATTGGTATGATCAATGTATTCCAATGATATTTTCATTATATCATTATTACACTTAGAAGTAATATATATATATATATATAATCAGTCTTAATCAAATATATTTTATGATCCATATGATGTGATCATTTCTTACATGTTCTATTGGAATATCTATGTACCGATATCAGATTGTGATCCATATTATACTATCTCTTTGACAATGGGTTTTCTAAGTTATAGTACCATACGCTAACTAAGTGCCGTGAACATTATATTGCCATGAGATGTTTTACAGTTATTGCATCCCCTTATGATATATATATATATATATGATATTTATATACTGGCTGAGTGCAATGACAATTATTTTCCCATAATGATATTTCCATGATATCTCCAATATATGTCTCATGAAATTTCCATGATATTTCCAGTAAATCATTAGTTTTGTTGGTTAAATCACCATTAAATCACCATTAAATCACCATGTTTGCGAAGATTGCTGATGGATTCCATGAGTTCTTAAGTATTATGACAGCTAGAAGTACTATATATATATATGTATTATTAGTTTTAATATATGATCCATGTATCCGCATTAGATTATTATCTAAATTATTATATGTCAACTCCTATAGTTCTTAATAGTTATTACTATGTTCACAACATGTCCATGATATGTCCATTATATTCCGAAGACAATTTTATATTATACATATATATATATATTCATGATATTATATTCCTTAATTCTCATATTTCATCATCTATTATCTATATTTCCACGACAATTATATACCCATATGCATTTCCATGATATATATATATATATATGTATTATACCCTTTGGTTATTTAACGTAGCTATGGAAAATCACCATTTTGGATAGGTAAATCATCATAAATCTGCTATAAATGGACCATTTTCCATAGCTATGTGAAATAGCTGGAGGGTACATATATATATATATATATATACATTCCATTACATATTTCCATTCAATCATGAGTTCTCTTGGTTAAATCACCATGAAATCATCATTTTTTTGATATATGTTCCATGATATGTCCATTAAATCATCATTAAATCACCATTTTTTGATATATTTCCATGGTATGTCCACTAATCCCTTCATAGTTCTTCCATGTTCTTCCCATCCCCGTAGATCGGATCTATCGGATCTCAGGGCTGAGACCTTGGACCACGACGTTCCCGGCCTCGTGGCCAACTACTGCCACGCCGCGCTGAACTCCTTGGAGGAAGCCATTGCCCACCTGGCGCCGAGTCGTAGATCTGTGGGTGATGATAAGCTGGTAAACATACAAAAAACTGATGGGAAAATCACCATGTTCATCACTATTTATATAAATTTGATATCTTTTCTGAAATGTATGATCTACTTATATATTTTTAAAACTACAATAATACGAATGATGATGAGAACAATGGTCAGCCACATACATTTGGTAAAATGTATGATCTATTCATCTGGCCTCAACAAACGTAATCCTTAATCCTTAGCCAGATTATATACGGACTACCACATTTTCGAATTATGTGGTTTGGACGGAAAATTACCATCTGGTTAAAATAAAAAATGATGGAAAATCTCAATTTTCAATGACTTAGCGGCTAAATCCACTATTTCTATGGCCATTTTCAATAGCTATGTGTGTTTACCAGAGGGTAACATAAACCCTGAAAATAAACAAGTTTTAATGGAAACTTATCTTCCATCCCCGATGAATGCCAGGGTCTATGTTAATTTACTGGGTGGTATATAAATTTGATATATTTCTTTTCAAATGTATGATCTACTTATATACTTATAAAACAATAATAGTACGAATGATGATGAAAAAAACATCACCCACATATATTATAATTACGTATAATTACGATACTGTTGTTTCAAATATATGATATATATATATATATATATATTTGTAATACTGGGAATGAAATGATCGTAATAATAGATATTGTTTAACATATATGATAGTTAGATAGACAGATAGATAGATCCATAGATTGATAGATTGCTAGATAGATCAGTAGATCGATAGGCCGATAGATCGATAGATTGATCAATAGAAAAATGATTAGATGGATTAGATTATATAGATATATTATATAGATAGATTAGATAGATAGATTAGATAGATAGACGGTGGATTAGATAGATAGATAGGATAGGATATGGTAGGATAGAGTTGTTTGACACATATACACTATGTAAAGACATTCCTCAAGTGTAGTGTCATGAACCGCCATTGTCTCACATCAATGTAACATGTTGTACATTTGGCTCAAGCAAAACCGTGCGGCGCCTTTGCAGTTGCTGCCGCCAAGTGGTTTTACCATTGAATAACTGGTTATCAGCCGTATTCGCTGTGTGCGGGTGCGGCCGTGGTCCTTACATATTTACGGTTACTAGCATTTGCTTTGGGTTTGAGCCACCCATTCTTGTGTTGGAAACCTAAACTTCCTTTCTGTGATTTTCAAACTGCTTAGCTAAGTGGCAGTGATTGCAACCAGCGACCTGCTACATCGTTAAGTCCACACCTTTGGGTGATTTTCCAACCGCCTGATCGGATTGCACAGGTTGGATCTCACCTGAAGTATTGCTTCGCCTTGGCCACCGAACCTTGGCGTTGAAGCAGCGAGTTCGCGTCCGGCGACCGTTGCGGAGTGTAGCAACACATAGACTGGGAATTGCTAGTAGCTTGGTATAAACCTCGCTCGTAGTCTTCCGGTTACACTTACAATTCCATATCGGTAAGCATCATTCGACTGTGGCGCTCGCTCCTGCGACCCACCCGTCAAGCAAAGACCAACTTCCATACTTAGCTTTGGTAGGGTAGTGCTCTTGTTGAACAACCTACTATACTGTTGAGACAACCCGCTAAATCCCGCCAACCCGCTTTCTCGAACTGCCTCGGATCAAGCTCTTTCAGCCCCAGCCTTTGCGAGTCCGATTGTCGCCGCTCGTACTTCCATAGTGAATGGTAAGAAGAGGAAAAACGGGACTTCGTGAGTACCGTCGTTCCCTTCTTCACCCTTTTGTGGTCCGAGAAAGGGAGCTCAAGGCAAGGAGCAATCTCCAACCCGGCGAGGCAGAGGAGTTCCACAGCTTGCATAGATTGTTCACTGACGCAAGTGCATTGGGATCGAGAATCTGGGACTTCACGACCAGCCGAACCCTAGCAGAA